ATACAGATCGAGTTTTCAATCATGTTTTGAGTTTTCAAAATCATTATATCGTTAAGGCCTTGTACAAGAGACACTGCGCAGCCGCAGCCTACCTGCACACTTCCGATTGGATGCTGGTGGTAGATGAAGAAACAGGTGACGCTGTACTATCTGAATTAAAGAAAAAGGATAGCGTCAGCATAATCCTATAATTCTCTTCAATGGCTTGACACAATCGTAGGCGTATATACTGCAATGACTACCAGAGGCATTTGTAGGTGTCATCAACCCTCAACATTGCATTGAAGAGTGGATAGATAACCGAGTAGACATACTGTTCTACGAACGATTCTTCAATTGGGAAATCAATGTTTCCTCGTATTTGGTAGGTAAACTATTGTTTATAACCCCCTGAGCTGTTGGTTGGTGAGCAAACTCTTGAAAGGAAAGTCGCTGAAGCCATGGCAGAGTGACGTCGAGAAGGAGGCCCCAGAAATCTGATGGCACGCTTCATAGTAACAGTGAGGGAGGGATCAGTAATTTGGATGTACGAAGGTGACATCGACGTTTTGTGATAGGTGGGGATATGGTGGGTAATAGGCGTTGGAAAGAGTCAGCGTATGTCGGGCATTTTGGCGACAGAGGCATTTTGCGCTTTTGCTTCTTTCCATCGAAGTGTCGAGAAAAGAGCGGTATTTTATGAGCTTTTAAGAGTTGGGATGTTTAATCATTTTCGGCTTTCTCCGGCTTCACAAGGATTCACGGGTTTCACCAGAGAGAAACGGAACTGTGAAGCGGTGAAAAGATGCCTCTCTAACTGAGAACAATCCATCAGAGTGCAGTTTACAATAAGACGCCATTCCTTAGTAAATAATTCACCGATGGCAAGCAAAGTGTAGTGCAGGACTCCCATTCAGCCTAAAATTCCAAGAGAAAAATACAAACAGATGATGGGTGGAAAAATCGGGAAAAAATACGTAGAGAACGGAGAACAGATTGGCATTTGAGACTCTGAAAATGAAACCACACCAAGTTTCTACCAGGATCGAAACTGCAACAGAAAAGAAAGTAGCTCTGAACATGTGCTGGGAACGATTGGAGTTTAGTTTTTGTTTCAGGTTCGAAATTCCGATTTCTCTCGGAAATTCCTATTTGATCTAGCAAGATGGGAATTTGAACCCTTGCCTAAATGGACCAGTTATGATCAGGGAGCGTTCATGGTAAGTGGAAAGTCAGATGAGATAAAGCGTTGTCAGTTCTTTTTTTGGGATACATCACTTATTCAACTTTAACACATTGAACGGCGCCGCGTTTTCGTTGCGACTCTTGTTTGTGCTTTCTGCCTCTCCGCGCGCGTGAATTGGTCTGCAATATTCACAGCGCTACGTAGCGAGAGTCTTTGCGCCGCATGCCCTATGCTCGCTCGTTCTACTTCCATTTTCGCTTATTTCTCGCGTGAACCTTATTCAATAGAAATGAAAACAGTCATATCATAAAACATGGATCTAAAAAACGAAGTATAGGATACCTCTATGGTAGTTTTGATTTTAGTTTTTTTGAGTTTTTTTAACAGTAAACCTATTCGTGATGCAGATCCAACCATGCCGCTGGATTTCTCCTTACTTGTAATGACAAACTTGTCGAGCTAATCAATAGAAACCTACCGATGTGCGGAACAAAACAGCCCCACTCAACTAATCTCAAAGAGCTGAAGAAGTTCAAGGACACTATCAATCATGAGGCCCACCTCTTCAAGAATACCAGATGCTGTTTTATGGAACTTGTGCGAAATCTGCTTGCCAGTAGTCAAGAAAATTACTCAATCAATGTTTCAAAATTGTCCCGCTCACCGAAATGTTTTTGTGAAACTGCAGATCACTGTTCATTTATGGAAGAACCTGAAAAAATAGTTACGTTTGTATTGACTGCTACTTCGCAAAGTAAATATGAACAATGAACACCGCACTTCAAGCCATAGAGGGAATAAGTAAAACACATCGAACACACATTAGACGGACATGACTTAAAGACACATAGTACGCTCACACACATTGAGGGTGTATGTGACTATCAGCCCCCCAGCTGTCGAAGCGTAGCGGTTTCCCCGTCCTAACATGCGCAGGAATGGAGATACAGGACCGTGAAACACGCTAATTCCTCCATGCTCCGCCCAAAATGCCTTTGCGGCGCAGACTCCCGTTTATGCTAACAGCCGTCCGCGCGGCGCGTGTCGCGCGCAGCTCTCTTGGCTTTTTGCCAAGTCCTGTAATTGCGCTTTGGAATACAAGTAAAACGCAATTTCCTGATGCGGATAACATTTTAGGTGCTGCAAAATAAGAACCGAAGATGATGACGAGGGCTCATCACATTTTGTAGCCTTTGTCATCTTCATCACCTTCTATTCGGACTTTGAAGCATGAGCAACACCTCAAATGTTATTCGCATCAGGAAATTGCGTTTTGCTTGTATTAAACTAACGAGTGGAACGCTTAGGCCGTTTTTATTGGGAGTGCGCGGCCTCTGAGGGATATTGCAGAAGCAGCACAGTTGCTCTTGAGTTCTAGCCCTCGTCATCATCTTCGGTTCTTATTTTGCAGCACCTAAAATGTTATCCGCATAAGGAAATTGCGTTTTACTTGTATTCCAAAGCGCAATTACAGGACTTGGCAAAAGCTGCGCGACACGCACGGGCGGAAGGCTGTTAGCATAAACGATGGGCGGAGTAGGAAGAAATTAGCGTGTTTCACGGTCCTGTATCTCCATTCCTGCGCATGTTAGGACGGGGAAACCGCTACGCTTCGACAGCTGGGGGGGGGGGCGGAATGGGAGTAAGCACGTGCTGGCAACTCACGGGCGACTAAGGTGAAAGCGTTTTTACCCTATACGTACAGTAACTTTTTACGCTGTCACAGTCAGTCATATTTTTCTCATTCGTGAGGCTCATGAGTTAAAAGGCATTTAGCATCTGATAATTGGGTAATGTGTTTGGTGGGCTCCAATTACCGCTTCTTCGTTCCCGCTTTTATAATAAACAGCGCAAAGAGGGTTCCTTCACTGTCCAAAGAAATTGAAATCAAATTTAGTGAGGGTGTCCTAAGATGTGATGAGGAACCATCCCCAGGAAGGTCTCTCATGCCAGAAAACAGGTTATTTTCTTGGAAGCTCCGGAGACGGATTCAAAAAAATTGTGAAAGCTGACTAGGGAAGCCCACCAACTTACTACGTAACTTTGAATGGAGGCCTGTGTAGACGAATAGAGCCTATAAGGTTCACAAGAATCGAGCGCTATTGATGTATACTAATAAGAAGACGGTTACAAGATGTAGATGTAGACGACTATCGCCATGCTGCTGCAAATGGCATATCTGAGGAATTCGTTCACTAGTTAAAAATGTAAGTCGAATGATTTGGTGTATTTAAGCTGCACTTGTTGCAAACGGTGATTCCACATGCCGTATGGGAGATCGATGCCTGCACTGACTATTGGTTCAGCGCCAACTCCTATCAAACATATATGGCTGCTGTGATGTGTGTTCGACAGGCGCTGGGAGCTCAACGAATCTGGCCTGGCATGGTGCGTATCTATCGCAAGATGCATGGATGGTCACGAGACATATGGATATCTGAGAACACGTGAGTCTTGCGAATTTTTGAACCCTTATTAAAAACCTACTGCCATTTCAACGCACATCCCGTGTAGTGAAGATGCGTATGGAGCTCGCCTAGCGCTAAGCGATTTCGAGCCATGCGGACGTTCAAACGTAAAAATACTGCCGGGGATAAATTTATAGCCATTTCTGCCAACGGGCGGAATTTCCGATGAAAATCGATAGGATTTTGAAAAGTGGCTTATTAGAAGGTAAATAGTGCCAAAGAAAATATAGCGATCGATTAGTGCGATTCTACACACTACTGCATATTTTTACAAAACAAGTTTAGTGGATCTATTCTTTTTTTTAGCTGGAGTGAACATGATTTCATGTTACACGGATGGAAGAAAGACATCAAGGACAGTCAGCATCTGTTCACGAAAAAAATCAAAGCGGAAAATTGCGACGCCAGTCTGAAAGAGTGGGACTGGAAAGGGCAATTTTTAGTGGGCACTGACGATCTTAAGTGAGTTCTCCTTCTGAAGTTTTTGATTTCCACACGATTTTCTTCCACATCCTTCATATTGGAGACGCTGGAAAAAGAAGGTGAATAGCGTGAATAGCGGGTGAAAACTCTTCAGTTTTCATGCTATCCCACTCTCTAAGGTGCCTGCTCTCTACAAGTGAAGCTCTTCTCAATGTACTACACCTTGGAGAGTGACCTAATGTTGTGGGGAGCGGTCCTCTATACTACTAATCGCTGGTTTACGAGCTCCGCGAGTCACATAGCCTGCCGCAACCGGTCCTTAACTTACTTTGACCACATAACCATAGAAACTATGACCGTGAAGAACCAAAGTGATATTTGACCGTAATGCCAACAATAATGAATGAATGAACATAACAACCATAATGAGTGTCGTACCACAACAAAGAACCTGACTTCCGAAAACCTAACAAGCATTTGCTGAAAATCTAACCAGCATTTGTCGGGCCCACTTGCCTCGGCTCCGGAATCCCACATATTGCAAAAAAGTACGTTATATAACATCACATGTTTGTTTACTCACGTGTATACGGCAACCTTCTTCCATCCTGTCCTCATATCTTGGACTGGCCATCCATCTTCCATCGTCCTGCGGTCCTAGCGGCAACGGCACCGCGCTGGCTACAAGCCGCAATCGGTCGCTCTCTCAGGTGTAACGGGCGCGGGCCTGAACCAGCGCTCCGCCAGACGGAGCAGTGCACCGAATCACACTGCTGTATGGAGCGCACGAGGCACCCTACAGCCCGCCCGGCATCACAGCGACACAGTGTGCCCAGTCCCCTCCTCACAAAGACCGAGAACAGCGCTGACTGGCCGTCGGCAGCCCTTATATGAACTCGCTGAAGGCAAGCCCTCAACACGACCGACCGACGATCTGCGGCGCATGCGTTGCGGATTTAGCCGTGTAGCCCCTCAGAGCCCAGGCGCACGGCGCTTTGGCAACCATTGTCGGGGAGTGCGACATCCCGAGCATTTCGCTGCTGTATCACTTGTGATTTTCTTTTTGAACTGTTTTGCCTAAACTATATGTAGCTCAAACCAGATTTCCTTTTCCGGTGAAAGAATTTTGGAGGAATCAGTATGAATCGCTCTTGACTACTTTTGTTCAGAAGAACCCTGGAGGTGTCTGAGGACTACTACCGCACCGAGTTTCCGAACAAGGGGCGGGTGATCGCATACTTCGATTTCCCTGATATAGCCAAGTGCTACCCGACTTGTGAAAATTCGAAGCGGTCAAATAATGTTGGCGTGAAGGCCCTCCGAATAAAGAAATAATAAACTTTTAACGACAGTTGATATGGTATAACTATAGAAATTTCACGCATATTCGTTACTATCTATGTGTAGCTTTTGCGTTGTTAACTGGTTGATTGCTGGTTTTTCTCTGGAGCAATAAAGTTTTTTTTCCTTTTCGAACATTGTACATGTACTTGTTATACTGCAAACTCGTGATGAAATTGATGGCTGATTACTGAAAGCCAGACTGTACAATTTCAACCAAGGACGGTCCTCGCAGTATGCGAGGTGATCAAGTCCGCATCTATAGTAGTCTGCCACTTTCTCCACCCAGAAAAGCAAAGCAACAAGGATGGGGGGAGTACTGGTACCCCGGTACCGTCTCCGTACTCCGCCCCACGCTAGCTTCAAAGTGATGCAGTTGTATCGTAGCGAGTCACGCAGTGATACACATACAGTTTATACGCCGTAACCAGTCGGCTCGCAATCAGTTGGTATCTGCCGGCAGCGTTCCTACCACTGACTGTTTTCTTCCTAAATCGATCACTACTCGATCACCATTGGTAGAGAAACGACCGCGGAGCCATGCCGCGCTGAACCCGATTGGTGGCGATGTTGTAGACTACACTCTGCGATAGAGAGATACTAAAATTAGGTGGGCGCAGACAAATAGCCCGTTCGGCCATGGTTAGGCTTGCAGATGGTTTGTAGCACCACAGACGAAGCATAGAAATGGCATCCGGGTAAGGGGCCTCCACCCTCCAGCCTCGTTCCTTGAAAGGCCCTGATCAGAGAAGGTGTTAGGTTGATGCATATGTTTTAACTCCGTGTTTGATCCTTCCGTATTGGTCGACCTGATCTTTCAATTTCCGCAGCTGGGTAACGTATGTGGAAGCGTCAATCGTCTGTCCCTTCTCCAGCAGCTCCCAGTACTCCATGCCTCTTCTGGACCACCAACAGGACAGGAGAACCTTTTTGGGGTGAAGGTCGGCTTTGGGTGGCTTCTGGCTGTTCTTTGTCGACCCACTGCCGCTTCCTCACAGGGTTATCGTAGAGGACCCACTTCTCATCTCCAGTGATCATCGAGTTGAGAAAGTGAAGCTTCTTTTGTGAATCGTTAAGCAAAACCAGGCAGTGGCGCAGGTACATTCTGTCACAGTGGTAAATTGTGCGACATTGTGGCCTGCAAATGCAAGGTGGGTGAGTGATAGCTAGTGTGATAAAAGAGTATAGTGCCCACGTCACGCACACGTGATGACGATATACCAACATCCATGCAAACGAAATACGCAAGGATCAAACACAGGGCTAAGAACTTAT